GGAGCCCCCGCTGCTTGGGCTCCCCGGGCCGCTCCCCGCCGGCACAGGGCCTGGCCCTGCGAGGGGTCGAGCCTGCCCTGGCACTCGCCTTCTAATAAACATGCTCCGTCCCCTCTCGGAAGCGGCGATATTTCAGAGGTCAATAGCTCAAGTCTGGAAAACGCTGTATTTGGCAGGTTTGGGATGCTACAGGGCTCTGCCTGAATGAAAATCACAGAAATTTAAGAATTCATCAGCAGTTTTCTAAGAGATGTTGAGGTAATAGTTTTCCAACTTCAACTTGTAATGAAAACAGTAACTTCAAACAATATATCTAGCAAGGGAAAAATGTCCAGAAAAAGGTTAAAATAAGGGGATCTCTGTAACATGTGTAATTGATTAATCCAAAGTTTTGGCAACTTGTCTTCAACTCTTCTGCTCTTGTGTCAATGCCACTGTAGTTTTAAAGCCTTTCAGACCTAGCTTTGCTCCTGAGAGAGAGCCTTTTCACTCTGTTTTATTCTTACCTGTAATTCATACATTGTCCAGAGGCTTCCTAACAAAATCCAGCCTGCTCACTGGGAATCGTAATTTGTCAAGAGCAGTTAGCTTTTTATACAACACTAATTTTATTATGGGTCATGTTTTAAAGTCATCCCTTGTATACGAATGCAGGAGATGCTTCACCCACCAAAGCATCTGCAGAAGCTCCTGGTGGCTGTCGTAGACCAGGGCCGGTGGAGCATATCCACAGTTCTGCCCTGTGATTTCTCCACCATACCTGCCCCATCAACACCACCTCAGGTAGAGAACATGACGTCAAATTTCCTCCCCGCAGCTGATCTGGCTTGTGCCGAAACCCAGGCATGCGCTCCAGTGACCCAAGCGGGATGTCATCCACCCCACCAGTATCCATCCATCCATCATAGCATCGGCGGTGCGTGGTGTTTCCATCATTAAATCCACGTGCAAAAAAACACTCATGTTCTCAAAGTGATTGTGATTTTACCGAAGTACTGTTCCAGCAGTTTTGGTTTGGTTCCATTTAATGGATTAATATACACCACCACCCCTCCCCTGAATTAAAAAAAAAAAGTTGTGAAACAACTTTTGCTTCTTCGTCAGTATTGATGAATCAGTATTTCCCTTTTATTGTTTTGTGTGCTACAGATCTTCCAAATAAAAAGTGTATCTAGTCAGAAAATAAATGTATTGATGTCTAAATGCACCTACTGATTTCCAGAAGGCCTTCCTTTTCTGCTGCTCCTCCAGTCTTTGACGGTAAATAAGATTATAATCTTCTAGAGAATTTTTGTTTTTCAATCTATGTAGAATATGTGAACAGTTTCCCTTTGATGTTTTAAAAATGAACTAGATATAATCAGTGATGCTGACAGCTTTTGCTATTAATCTGAGGCTTATACTCGTTCTTGCAATCGCTCCTTTTGAATAGAAAAAGGATAATCAATCATTTCACTGCCTGCGTTTCCTGCATTAGGAAAACGCTGTTGTGTTCGAATTACCATTACCATAGGAAAATATTTAGGACCCTTCTGTTTTTTCTCCCACTCTTAAAAAAGTGACATCTGTTTTGCTGCAATTAAGGAGAAATGCAAACACACACAAGTAATAAAAGCTCAAAACCTACATTTTCTCACTGCTATTTGACAGCTGTGGCAGTAACCTTTGAAAGAAATCCTCTGCTGAAAAATACTTAAAAAAATTTTGAGAGATGCAATTTTTCAGAAGCTGACCAGGGTCAGGTTGAAGATGAGGTCGATGCAGAATGCGTAAATTGGATTGGGTCCTAATTTCTCAAAATAGCAAGAGATAATAATTTCTTGAACAAATATTTCTTAAAAATGGTGAGAAATACCAAATTCATCCTGCTTTCCTAAATAGAGAGTCTCAAAACCTTTACATTGCTGAAGGCTCGACGTAGGACTTGGCTCGTTCTAGAAGCTGATCCTACAGAGGTCCCCATGAAGTCTCCATCCCTCTGGTACTGCTGGAGCTTTCCCTGTTTGCACAAACCTGCCCACGGCGGGGTGTTCCTTTGCTGACGCTTGTTCTGTCCGTGCACCAGGTTGATCAGGAGCTGCAGGAGCCAGGAGAGACTGCCAGCCTACTGCTGACAGACTGTTCCTTTCTGGTGTTAATGTGAATTGGGCCTTAGTTTTCAATTTGTATCTTCTAGTAAAAGTATCTGTCTGAAAGAGAAATGTACTGGAAATCATGGGTTTATACTGGAGAAAAAAAGGTCTTTGTGGCAGCTGCTGTCCCCAAGCACTTGGCGCGCCTTGGCTACTTCGGATCATGGAATACCTTCCTACTTAAGGACAGATCTAGAAAGTGGTAACATAGGTTGCAACTCATTCGGCATACTTTTTTATCAATTTTGGTTTTGCACCTGTGGAAAAAGAGAACACTTGGCGGGGGGGGCTGTTGATTGATATTGAAAAATGAGATTGCAAATTTACCCC